CATAGTCAGGGTCTTTTGAACACAGCCCTTTAGTTGCATTTCCCCTGCTGCACCAGAAGATTACAGCAATTGGGTGGGAATGGGTAGGGCGGAGGAATATTACTCCTAAAAGAAGAATCTGCACAAGAGACACATTACTAACTGTAAGTTATGCCCCTTGATATTTTGTTCTTGATACTAGCCAACCTTAGGCTTTAACAAAATAGTCAAGCCTTAATGTGGAATTCCAGCAAACGCCTAACAAGCCACAAAACTGTACTCTCTCCCCCGCAACACCTATGCTAACTAACCTTTGTAAGTATATACTTACCTATTTTCAGGCCATTCCAGTCTGGTCATGTAATGTGGCTCTCCTGTGTTAACCAGCATGGCTTCAGGGAAAAGGAAGGAGTGTCGACAGCGGATGGGCCATTGAAGCTTATGGGTGACTTCACTGCTCCCAGGATTTACCAGCTGTTCTCGGAGCGCTTTCACCTCTCCCTCGTAGCTGGTGCTAACTGATACAAGAAATCAAGTGACCAGACCAGAGCACTCTGAAAATTGGAAAGTACATACATCTTTCATGGAGATGTTAGGAGGGTAGAGGGAACAGTTTTAAAGTAGAACTATAGGCAAAACGTTTTTTTTTTTTTTTTTAATTTTGGATAGCGCAAGAGTTATAATACTTGTCAGATTTTTTTTTTCCCACCATCTGTGTCCCATTGTGGATATTTTCCTTCACTTCTTGTCCCATAGCCAAACTGGAAATCCCTGCAAATTAAGGGAATTCCTTGGGGACCCTCAGGTCACCAGAACTAGTGTCCCCATTGGAAGATTTACCCTCTTACTTTTCTGGGGACAACCCAAAATATGGGATTTTCTTTTACTTTCACTTTTCAATGATAATGGTAAATAGTACAAATAGAGTGAATCTCCCTAACAGCGTCACAGACAGCAATAAAAACTGACCGATGTTCTAATACCTCTTCACTCTATCCAAAACTAAAAAAAAGGTTTTGCCTTTAATTCTATTTTAAGGCTAGTTTGGGTGGAATCTTGAATTCCACTTTAAAACAGTAAAAATTCTGTGATGATACGGTGATGCATTCTCAAAGATATGTAAGAAGTTTTGGGTTTTTTTTGGGCACACAACATTCCAACAGATCCACATATTCAAATATGTTTGCAGAGCAACTTTACTGATCATGCAACAAGTCCATTAACTAGAGATCAGTGAAATCGCTGAGAATACAGCCTATCACTTTACCAGAGATTATTTAATTTAATTAATTGATAATAATTATTGATGTAACTTAGAAGGCAGCCTGTCAGTTCACTGGAGACTGTTGATGTCAATGAGAATGCAGTGCATCACTTCAGTGAAAGGTATGGTCCTCACTGATAAGGCAGCCATCCATTCACTGCAGAGAGGTGATGTTGAGAATGCAGCCTGTCCATTCAATATGGACCAGTAACATAAATCAAAATATAGCCTCATCACTAGAAACTGGTAATATCGCTAAAAATGCAGCTTATCTATTCACTGGAGACTGGTGATGTCCCTAAAAATGCATGCTTAAATGCATAGTCTAGTGCAGCCTTTCTCAACCAGGGTGCCCAGGCACCCTGGGTTGCCTTCAGGCTTCTTCAGGGGTGCCTTGGCAAAATGCCCAAAAATTGTGTACAAGGCAGCAGGTGGATCAATTCTGCCTTTTAGTACACAAGGTTACAGGTTATCATTGTGCATTTTTATGACCTTCTAGCTGCCTGCACCCTAACAACCAATGACATCAGTTGAGGACTTTGGGTACATGCACATAATCCTTTTTTGGCCCTCTCTGGCAGCACTGGGGTCACATTAGCAGAGCGAGGGAGAGAAAATGAGAGACACAATGGAATACTAGTCGGTACCAGTGTGCAAAGGTGTATTTGCTTTGGAAGAATAAATCACCTCTAATGTTGGGTGTACTGGATGTGTGGAGAATAGTTTTTTACATATTTAGAATGGGGTGCCTTGAGATTGTGCAGAATCACAATTTTGCAACGTTGACATGTGTTAGTAAAACCTTACATATCATCACAACTACTTTGTACATAGAGGTGAATTATACCTTGTTTGTTTTCAGGACCAATTGGGCTTTCATTTGGTGGTAAACGGTAATGGATATCTCCTGATGATTTTTTTTTTTTTTATTATTATTATCAAAGGAAAACTGGCACAAAATAGTAAAAAAAAAAAACTACCACCAAAGAATAACTCAAAATAAATTCTCCAGCTCTTGACGATCGCAGCGATACCATATATGTGTATGTTATTTGTTGTTTGTACCCGTAGTACAGCCCAGAAACAATAGTGTACATTTTGTATTTGTCTTTTTTTACCTATAACACACTGATACCTTTTGACCCTGACCCAAACAATTACCCTGGCACTGAACTAGATCAAACCTTGATCTAGGTATTTTTTCTTTATTTTTTTTTTATTTTTTAATAATTTTTTTTTTTTCCAAACATTTTTTTTCCCTCTTTCTATGCCAGGAGTTCGACAGATACAATGTATCTCTCTTCTCCATTCATAGAGAGAAAAAAAAAAACAAGGGGCAGGGCTGCACAGTGACTGATCACTGTGATATCTAATCAGAGGCTATCACAGTGATCATGGGACCCAGAATCGTGAGTTCCGGGTCCCGATCGTTAGAACGGGACCAGGGGCTCTCAGTGACACCGCAGTCTTTGTGCTGGGAGCGCGCAGTGCAGCGCACTCCCAGCACAAAGACAGGTACGCAAATATGCGGCCCCACGGAAAAAAGCCCGGTTCCGTAAGGCCGCATATTTGTGTGACTTCGGCGTCAAGGGGTTAAAGGGTGCCTTCAGATTATCCATCATTTTAAAGGGTGCCTTAATGGGAAAAAAAGGTTGAGAAACACTGGTCTAGCACACCCCATACAGCAGTGAGACTCAGTTATAGGAGGCTGCTGTGGGGAAGTGGCAGATGGCACCACCAAAGTGTAAGACCAGTCCAAGATATCTCCAGCACACCATGTTCAGATAGACAGTACACTTTAATGTCCCCAAAAGAAAGCCGCAATATTTTCAGACCACGAATGGCCTATTCTCAGGCTGCCTGAAAAAGAGGCCCTTAATCACCTTGAAATGTTTATTATGTAGTTTATTTCTTAATGATTGTATTGTACATGACACATGCATAGTATGCTTGGAATCTGAGAACAGTAACATGCCTAGCATGGGCTACCAGGAAAAGAAGACTGATGCCTTGTACCAGTCCAAATCCTCTTATGTGATCAGGAACTGAAGTGGAACTTTGGTATTGCTATTTATACTCTTCCTTGATTATGCTGTAATTTGTATTGAACTTTTGTATAGGCAATTGACCAGATTTAGTTTGATCATGTATGATTCGTATTCACAATCTCCATCTTAATATAGCTGTACAACTACTGTAAGAGTTTGTTTACAACTGGTGAGTAAAACAGACCTAAAAGTAGCAGTTAGATGTAGATTGATGGTGAGGTATACATAGATTTGGCGCTATATTTTCCACTTATCGTCTTTTGAATCTTACAGCAACATATGTAAACATCTCTTATCTTGTGGTTTCCTGTTTGAAATTCTCACTCTGCACACTGCCAAGCTGGAGTCTTGCTACTCTCAATCTATTGGTGCCGACTAACCACTTTGTCCTCCCCCTTCTTAACTTCTAAGAAAGCTGATCATGTGACAAGCGGGAACAATTGCCATGTATAGCCTTCATTAGCATATAGAATATGTTTACATCCACTGTGGCTTCACAACAAAGCATATCGTTAAGCTTGTGGTTTTTTTTGATCCCCTCATTCGCAGTTTGTGCTGAAGAAAAATTTCTACATTTCAAATTTTAGCTCTCGCTCACTAACTTTTAAATCGTGAAAGTATAGTATTCCTGTTTAATTTTATTTTTTTTAACCCCTTTATGACTGCGGTTTAGTTAAAAGGAATAATTGTGGTTCGAAGGCTTTGGCTAAAGGAGCTTACACTTTAATGTCCCTACCACAGTCCTACAGACACGCATACTACAGTAAATATTAGGTGAAAGTCACTGCTATTAGGGCCCATTCAGGTTAGTGTGTTGGGTAACATGCAGTAAAACATACATTTTAACACGTGTTACCTCAATGCGTTTTGGTGATATTGATTGTGAATGGCTCCCCAATGCACTGTAGCAGCCAACACACCACAATGCATGTCCAGGTTTTCATGTGTTAAGGTGCCCTGCTAACCCTTTAAAAATGTACACGTTAATGTGTTGTATTAATGGAAAACATCATTTGACATGGTCTTAAGATTTTACAGCAGAATTTTTGAAAGAGAATGACTGGGGACAGAAAAAGAAAAGATGATTTTTAGTCTAAAAAGGAAGACAAGTTCCTTTAAAACTTGAAATATTTTATCAAACTTGTAAAAGTCATACCTGAAAGTTGGAACCACATGGAGCCTACTGCAACCTCTGTTAGTCAATTCTGTGCATTCCTCTGATCACACTTTACCATTGTAAATATGGGCTTACCTTTCCTGACTGTATAGGGAAGTTGCACCTATCTGTCACCCTGTCGCTGGCCACTGAGGTACTTTCATGGAACGGAAGTAGGAAGGCTGCCAGGAGCTCGCTCTATGCCCTCCTGTCAAATCAGAGTGCCATTGTTACTTTTATTGGATGGGGATTGACAAGCGGTTGTCTTAACCCATGGGGAGTTTGATTTGGAACATTTGACACAATGCGATCAGGATCAAAGTCACCTTAAAGACCTTACAATGTTTGTAGTAGGTATCTTGTGGGGTCTACTTTCAGGCATGACTTTTACGGTTTAAATGGCTTAGAGCTTCACTTTTATTTAACCCTACATTGTGGTCCTTGTTGTTCTTGAGCTTCTAAGTCTATTCCAGATTTGTCATTCCTTGTCTATATTGTTTATCTTACACCTCTGTTTCCCTTTTCAGCCGACCAGGTATATGGAGACCAGGACATGCACGAGGTGGTCCGGAAACACTGCATGGATTACTTGGTGAGTGAGGCTTGGAGACTTAGCCTAAACTACGTGCAATATTTGTAATTTGTTTACTTGCATAGGATTCACTTTGTTAGCATTTGCTTTGTTACATTCTGAATTCTGTTACAGTTGGGGAATTATTAATACGCAATTGAAGTCATTAAAGAAAATCTCTTTATCAGAACAAAACATATACCTACAGATTTCACCTCTGGTGTCCCGAATCTCTGTAAATTGCAATTCTCCTCAATACTTTTTGGTTTAGACCAAATTGTCCCCACCGTCTCTCATCTCTTCCTGATGGCCCTTCATTTTGGTTTTCTTCACTGTGTTTTATTCTTATAGCCTACTTGGCAAACTTCACATACTACTGAAAGGATGGAAAGGAATGCACACCAATAACCTCACAGTTGTTAAAATGTTTTATTCCATTAACACAGTGTGATTTGCCACCTGTCATCTTCCCGCTCCAATGTTTCTTGACCAGAAGGGCTTAATCATGGAGCAGGTGGATGACAGGTGGCAAGTAACACTGTAAATTTTTGTTACGGGAACAAAGCTTTCTAACCGCTATGTTGTTGTCGATGTGCAGCCCTTTCCCTCCTTTCAGTCATATTGCTGTTGAACAAGGATGTGCTCTGGGGTCAGATCCCAATGCACACCCATGAATCGAAGTGGAGAATGAAAGTTTTTGGAGCGACATTATCTTCTTCTGATTTCACTGACAGTCACTTGCTGTGTTACATGAATCTGCATCCTAGGACTGTTCTCATCTATTGTCTTTTGTTACCCCTCAACAGATGAAAAATGCAGACTACTTCTCAAACTATGTGACAGAAGATTTTACCACTTACATTAACCGCAAGAGGAAAAATAACTGTCATGGCAATCACATAGAAATGCAGGCTATGGCGGAGATGTACAACCGACCTGTAGAGGTGTATCAGTATGGGACAGGTAACACTACTACTCCAGCTATGCCTAAAAGAACTTGTCACCAGAGCAGCAATAGGCTACACACAAAAAATAGTATACATCTATATCGGGTAAAATAAATAAGTATTGAACACATCACAGTTTTTCTCAGTAAATTTCTAAAGGTGCTATTCATGTGAAATTTTCTGTGTGTGAGAGTGTCATTGGACTCCTATACAACCTTTTACTCAGGATTTTACTGAAGATATTTTTTTTTTCTATCTTTGCACCTATAGTTTCTTTTAAAATGAGATGTTCTAGAAAATGGCAGCAATATGGTGTATAGATGTACAGGAGTTTCTTAAAAATGATAACTTTGTTGGCAAACAAGTAGATTCATTTTGGATGTAATGGGGAAGGGTTAGAACCTCTGTCAGGTTTTAATTGCTGTCTTTGTTCTCCTTGGATAGATCCCTCTTCACTTTTTTTTTTTTTCCATTGTGTCCCCAGTGAAGAGACTCTCCTTATTTCTATCGGCAAACAGCGAGAGCAGCATTAGTAAAGTAATAAAGGATTAGAACCATTTGGAAACAACCTAATTTCCTGCTTTGTCATTAAGACATGACATGGTTTCAGTTGAGGACAGACAGCTACATGTACATTTGATGGAGTCTGTAATTATTCCCCCCCATACAAAATTTTACCAGATTGCTTATATAACTTTCAATTGGGGAGACCAGATTCATGCCCTGCTACTAGTGTAGGCAGCATTCTGTATGTTTTCTGACCTCTCTCCTTCTGTCCAGAACCAATCAACACGTTTCACGGAATCCAGCAAAATGAAGATGAGCCAATAAGAGTGAGCTACCATCGGAATATACACTACAATTCAGTGGTGAACCCCAACAAGGCAACCATTGGAGTTGGTCTGGGCCTGCCATCCTTCAAACCAGGGGTAAGGGGAGAGGGGAGGGATCCCAAGTGTGAGGGCCAAATCACACATGTTCTGTCAAGGCAGCTCATTTATTATGAATTGGTTGCCAGTGCATCACAATTAATAAAAAATGGTGTTGTGTTTTGCACTCTACAGAATACTGTTGGATTTCCTTTCTTGATAATTAGCTGACAGAGCATTGCACATAGAGCAGGTGCATCGCCCTGAATTGTGGCAACACAAACGGGCTTGGAAAGTTGAAACACACATAAATACCGTCAAAAGCAAAATTTGTAAACCAGATCCTGTATAACTCTCTACCCAACATGCCTCATTTTTTTTGCTAGCATCCTAGAAGGTCCAAGCTCTGCTGAAAGAAAAGTATATTTTCTGCTAGCTTTCTTCACTTTCTTTTTCACTAGGTGTCTTCAAGTAAGATTTCTTGTTACACAGCTGCTTGAACCGGTCTTTGTACACCAGCTATCCAGATTCTCTAAAGCTAATGCTGATGACAATGTACCCAGACCCTGCTAGACTGGACATGTTTGGCTAACCTGGAATGTGTCCTTCAGACACTAGATTCTGCATTGTGTCATTTTCCAGACCTTTTTATATTGTGTTAGACTGCTTTCCAGGTCAAAAGCCGTGGCACAGCCCCAAGTGTGACCATGTCTCTGAAGAATTACTTGGTGATGAGCAAGGTTGGTTGGGCTGAAGCACCAAGAGCTACTTCAGTTTGCATTGCTTAGTGCCTTTTACATTTACCCACCACCACAAGGTTTTACCAGAGTGCTGATTTCACACACTAGGTGGAGTGCTTTGCGCCCTTTTCCCCACCATTCATTCTGGAGGAGGCACCATACCAGGGCCCAGTTGCTTACTGCTGTGTTGCATAATATATCTTTCCAAAGATGCAAAGAGGACAGACCCATTGCAATGAGCGACCGCAGCCAATGCTCCCCAAGTGGTCCTGGAGACATTTACTTTGTTACCATAGATGGAACTGATCCGACCAGAATATTGAAAAATCAGTGTCAAAAATATGAAGTGAATAAATGAAATTATGTGAATATCTATAAATTCAACTGTAAAGGTTCATAAAGGAGTCCAATTTCCCAAAAGCTGAAACCAAACAGTGCTGTACTCCAGCACCGAGGTGAATAAAAGAACAGACTCACCTCCTCCGGCCTTTAAATTATGAAAGGTCTAACCAGACTGGCTCCCTTTTTAATGGCGAGCGTCAGCTGCAATGGAGGATCCGGTGGTCTTCTGTGTAAAAACCTACATAGTGCTCACTGTGTCATAAAATAGCTGAAATATATTAAGAACCACACTTACATTAAAAGCAAAGCAAGAGCTAGTGATAATCATAGAGCAGTGTAGCTCCCGTAGCTCAGCACTCTGGGCTCATCCAGCTGGCAGCTTCACAAGTGCCGTGTATGCCAGGTCACTGCGTGGTACAGATCATCTGCTCTGTAGATACTAAACAAGCCAGCACTCCACTGTAAAAGCGGCACTTTTTTTTTGTTTACCATTAGAATTTTGTTTGAATTTTCTTATTTTAAGAACACTGGTTCAATTTTCTAATAGTCAATGTGGTCACAGGATGTTTGTTTTCAAACATAGTGGCGCTTTTGTTGAGGAAATTACACTCATTCCGAAATTGATTGTTGAAAATTGTCATCAGACGTACTGATAAGAACTTTTGTATGAATGTTTGAAAAACCTCTGGCATATGGCCAGCTTAAGCTCTCCGGTGCTACCTCCTGTATATTCTGTCTCTAACCCTCCTGAGACCATAAATCAAACAGGGCCTGTAAGCCCCTGTTGCCATTTCTGGTTCAGAATCTCAGCAGTCTTGTCTTGGGAGAGACTGTTTTTGGGTCACTGTAGTCTTCTGCAGTTGACTAAGATTTACAGGGAGTTGGTTCAAACCTTATTAATGGAGTCCTTATTACCATGCATCTGGTGGATCAATTTGCTGTTAATGGCCTTGGGTCTTTTCGAACTCCTAAAGCTGCAAAGACCTTTCCACTACACCTGCTTTTTGTGTAATTTCTCTGTGCAGAAGGGAAACATTCCTGTTTGAGAAGGGATTTGTAACCAGTTTTTTGCCATTCTGGATACAACAGTGATCCACATAAGCAGAAACTCCACTGAAAGGATTGAAAGTGTGCTCATCTTTTAGGACTTCACTGAAAGCTGAATTCTTTCCTTAGAACCTAGTTATCTGTATGAAGAGAAAAATCCATAGTTCGCTGCACTGTTCAATTCTTTATATTTTTATGTAAATGTCACATCAAATGGAGGTTGAGTAAGCGTTGTTTATAGCGTGAATATTAACATTTCATTGTCCCCACATTATTGTTCTAGCACCCTCAGGATACCCCCTTAGTATAGGTAACTTTGATAGTTCACCTGGAGCGGCACAGGACTTTTCTCTCTACTAGTTGAATTACCTGGTTTAATCCTCTATCCCTTGTTGCCAGTAACCTTTATCTATGAGATGATTTCAGAATGGGTTGAATCCTTTAAGGGGCATCCCTCCACCACAGGAGTAGGCCCGTGCTTTATAGAGTGGCTGGAGCAAATATCTGGAGACTTGTACTTTAGTTGTGACTGGTTGTTACAAATCTCAGAACTTGTCTCACATGAGACTTATATTTATGCATAGGTCACTATGGCTACATGCCATGGATGCTGACAAGGTGCCCAAGGAACATTTGATTTGCTTACTATTCACCTCTTTTCAGACCTTCTTTTGACATCATCATTAGCAACACAACTGGTGATCAGAGTGTGCTACTGCAACGAGATTTGTGGAAGATTCTGAGGAATCTTATCCTTTGTCCTCATCTGCTTTGGCAGTAAGTACTCTTAGGCTTTCAGAGCCTAACTTCCACTCAAGCTGTAGGGCCTGGCGCACCCCCACTTCTATAAGTTGTGGGGGCTGTGTGTACATCCCAACAGTAGTGACATCTCCTTTAGTTGCCATTCATCTTTCTCTGCATCCAGAAGTTTGTCTTGGCAGGCCTGTTTCTGTGCTGGTGGGAACTTGGCCTTGGCCAGAATTACAATCCCTTCTTCAGCAGAATTTTACATCCTTGGATACTGTTAAACCACTTGTATTTGGTTCAGGCAGGGATCCTTCCGGTAGTCCTGTGTTAAAGGTCTCTTCCTGGTTTTGTCAGTTGATTTTGCCCATTTCTTGGTTAGAATGTTTCTCAACTTATCAACCGTATCTGAATTCTTGTGTCCCTCAATGGACATTGGAGAAAAGATTTTTGTGCTTGCATAAGATACTTTTCATCAAGATCTTGTCTTTTTTTTTTTCTTTTCTTTTTTTTTTTAAATCTGGCTCTGTGTATTGCTTTCTCACAAAACTGAGGAATGCTGGGTAGAAGAGGGATCATACAGGTGGGCTTACAACTTTGATTGCCAGTGCCCTTCAACTTTGATTGCAGTATCCCTTCTTCCTGTTGACAAGCAGTATAACCCAGTGGATTGAGATAAGATTTTATGTTACAGATCAACATACATAGTCTTGTGATTCACCCACAGCTAAACCTTATAGATGGTTGTACCTGGCAAAAGATTTGTACAGTAGGGCACATGTTTTTGTGATGCACCAACCCTTGTAGACATTCTTTAAAGAAGAATTTCAAGCATGTATATTATATATAACTTCACTGCCCTGCCTGTGCAGTAAGAAAACATTTTCCATTCATTCAGAAAATGCAAATGTTTCTCTGAATAGTGCCCTTGCTGAGCAGCTGACCTCCTGGGTGCAGAATGCAGCAGGGTAGCCTCTCAGTGCAGGACCTTGAAGTAAGTGAAGATAACTGGAGTACCATTTTTAACTTTGTTGATTTCCAGCTTCCAGTGGCATGATCCAGGATGGTGTATGGATGGTTACATGGGTCCAAGCTCAACCAGTCTAACTATGTAAAATATTTTGTTACCTTTTTTAGTTCTTCTTTAAAATCTAATTCAGCTAAATACATTCCAGGTGCATCAAAACATGTTAAGTCATACATTTTGTGTTCTTTAGAAAGCAGCCACATGTTGCAGAGATGGGCCCTTGCTCTTTGTATGAAAATGGTCTTTCTACAGAGGTACCATATACCCCTGCTGAGTCAGAGCTTGGGATCCACAATCAACAATGCTCATTCTCCCTGCTGGTTAGAAATCCTTACCTCTGAATCCAGAGGAGGTGTCTCAGACCTCTACAGAGTGACCGCTGCTTCCACAAAGAGACGGCTTATTAATTCGGACAGTGTATCCTTTCTAAAGAGAATCCAAAAGGGTTTGAACACCTTTTTGTTTTTATGCACCTTTTGATTTTTAGCCGATCTAGTACATCGCCACAGGTATTTGAAAACCTTAATTTAGTCAAATAGAGAAAAACAATCTGATGACTTATTCTTATGGTGCTGTATACTTGTGTATTGGTATGTCATGCAGGGCAAAGCAACAGGTTAATTTTAAAAGGTTTCCCCTCCCACCGCATTTTTAATGGTGACCCCCACCCCCTCCCACCCCAGTTACTTTTGGTTACTTTTACATTGTTCTTCCTCCATATTGTTTGCCTACAGGAGTGCAGAGATGAGAAGAGTTCGCCTGTTTCTGGAAACGCAGACAGAAACAAGCATTTCTGCCCACATTCCCAACTTGCGAAGGTGTGCATGCAGCCTTATAGTAACTGATCACGTTACCATGGGTTTTTTGTTTTTTCTATAATATTTAGTCATGTTTTTTGCTCCTCAAGCAACAGGTTGTTGGGGGTTGGACAAAACATCAACCATTAATGCTCATAGAGGCCAGCAGAGCTAGGTTGTGTTTTGGGGCATTAAAAACACCTCAGATTTGATTTTTAGCACTGGAATATTGACAGCTGAAGTCTGGGCTGCAACCTCTCTAGTATTTTACGACAAAAGTGATATTACGAAATATGAGGCTCTTTCAAACTGTATGTGTGTTTAGTATGCAGATCAGTCGCTGATGAAAAATGCTATTCGGACCTCAGAAGAGTCCTGGATCGAGCAACAAATGTTAGAAGATAAAAAGAGGGCCACAGACTGGGAAGCTACAAATGAGGCCATTGAGGAACAAGTTGCTCGAGAATCTTATCTGCAGTGGTTGAGGGACCAAGAGAAGCAGGCCAGACAGGTAACACTATTAGCAGTACTTTTTTTTTTTTTTTTTTTTTTTTTTTTAATTTCATTCACTTATTTTGCCATCAACACTTGGCTTTCTGTCTTGTCCCCAAATTCTACCAATGTGCTCTCATATGTTCCCCCTGTTTCCTTTCTTCTCTGCTTTTCTTATTTTCTCCTGTTCATGTTCCTAATAGAGACCTCCAATCTGTCTTTATATTCACAGCCCCGCAAAGCCAGTGCAACCTGCAGTTCTGCTACAGCTGCAGCATCAAGTGGTCCAGAAGAATGGAGCGGACGTTCACCAAGACAGCGTAGCACTGCGGGGTCTCCTGAACACCCTGATGTTCATGGAGATCAAACAAAGCCGTCTTCCCCTGGGAATGCCCTAGTGTTAGCAAAGCCTCCCTCGCCTTGTGCACCAGGTAACTACAGCCATGGCCATGGCCTCAAGTTTTTGGTAAAATTCTTAGATCCCAAGTTCACCTTTCTATAACAAATATCTTTTACATTTCCTCTGTTATATATAAAACCAGACCTCAGGTCAAAGATCATTTTCAGGATTTTTGCTATATGGCCCACATATTTCTCTGATCTTATTCCTGTAGCAGAAAGCATAGTCTGTGTGAACTGATCAGTACTCTCCACCCCTTCTGTGAAGTTATGGTAATTGTATTCATCATTGTGATAGGTGAGTGCAGTGCATAAGCAATAAAGAATAAAAATTGTTCCTGATGTTTTTAGTCGCCTCTCCTCACCCCAGCCCTTTTGGGGTTTTCCAACAACTCTCTTCAGAACCCACTCCAATAGGTGCCAGAGATATTTGAAAGCTGTCCAATTATATGAGAAGCCATAACACCAGGCTGAGAGCTGCTAAATTACAAGCAACTGGTACGTGGTACAACAAATTGGTGTGAAAATTGTTAGTTACAATAGTCGCTCTTGCTGTAGGCTGCTGCTAGATAACAAGAGACTGACAGTCTGCTTTCAAGCTACAAAAGATTGTGGGAGATTTCCACATTACACAAGACTGTTAGAGAATGTTCATGAAAATAACTCCTTTGCAGACCAGTATACAGCCCAGTGCAGAGTGATCTGGTGGACATCATCATAGAAGTCAGATTAAAATTTGCTGCCAGCATACCTAAAATGACTGGAGCTTTGCCTGATGAAGGAAACCTTGATGGTACCAAAATGTAGCACTTTGCATTATAACTTACTGAGCAGATGCCAAAAAGTAGCTTCTTATTGCAGAAGATTGAGGTTTGCTAACAACGTATTTTTCATTATTAGCGAATGCTGCCACATTAAGCCTAGGTTCACACTTGTGTGGGAAACTCCGCAATCCGTGTGTGTTTCCCGCACCGCGTTGCAATCTGCAGCAGGTGTCAGTTTAATCTTAATGACACCCCAAATACAGGTTGCAAACGCAGTGCGTTTGCCTGCTTCGGATTGTAAGGTTCAAAGCGACCATGTGATCCAATTGTGGTGTGGTTCCAAGATTGGTGCATGTGCATCTTTGGTACGATACAGTGCGATCTGAGCCTATTCAAAATGAATGTGCCAAAATCGCACTGCACTAAATAATTTTTAATTTGCACAGGGATGCGTTACGGTTCCTGTGTAATTCACCTGCAGTTCATAATGTGAAACGGGTCTAAAGGAGTCTGATTTGTAGATGTAGGAGACTGAAATACTATGTTTAAGTTATGGCCTCTTGCATGTGGACGCCTGAGCTCATTCAGCGTAAATTCACACATTTCCCTGCCTCTTAGACGCTGTGTTTAAAAAGAACGTTTTAAAATTGTTTTGCATATGTCTGTACGCAACTCTTCTATGTATAGCTGGATTACAGCTGAGCGCTGTCATTCATTTCTATAGGAGGCTGTATGCAGCACCTGGGCTTTCAGGGTGGGAGGAAATATGCACCTGAGCCTGATCAGCATAAACTCACATATTCTGTAAATAAAATCTATTTCTGATTAAATGTTCTCTAACGCTACTCATAGACCTAATTATCTGGCTTGTCCCCCACTCAAAACCTTATCCATATTGCCTCTACTTCAAATAGCTGGCCTAATGAAGGATTCACTTTGCAGTGCTGTTTGCACATTGTGCACATATTTTAGAAACGTGTTTATATCAGGCTTTTTGAGCTTTCAGATTAAGTTATGTGATTTGGAAAATACAAGAGCTATTGGATCAGTGTAAAAGCTGGAAAAGTAGCTTTTTAGGTAGGTTTTTTTTTTTTTTTTTTAAGGAGAGGTTAGCAGAGGCGGTCTGTGTGTTCACCGTATCACCAGTGTTCTTTATCAATAAAATTGATATGTGTCAGCAGAGGAAATATCCATATCATAATGGGGGAAAAAAAAAGTTTGGGGTGTATCTTATGTACTAAAGCTACACTTCTCAAAAAAAAAAAATTAAAGGAACACTTTGAAAACACATCAGATCTCAATAAGGAAAAATATGCTGGATATCTATACTGATATGGACTGGGTAATGTGTTAGGAATGTAAGGATGCCCCATCGTTTGAATTCAGTTCTCTGTAGGTTGATAATTTTAATTTCCATCAAAGACACCCCGAAAATCAAAGTGAAAAAATGATGCAGCAGGCAAGTCCATTTTGCTGAATTTTCATTTCAGCAACTCAGAATGGTACTCAGTTTTTTGTTTGGCCCCCACGTGCTCCTAATCAGACAACAGATGGTGTCCTGGGGTATTTCTTCCTAGATCTGGACCAGGGCATCACTGAGCTCCTGGACAGTCTGAGGTGCAACCTGGTGTTGTTGGATGGACCGAAAAATTATATCCCAGAGGTGTTCTGTTGGATTTTGGTCAGGCGAGCCTGGGGGCCATTCAATGGTATCAATTCCTTCATCCTCCAGGAACTGCCTGCATACTCTCGCCACAAGGCCAGGCATTGTCGTGCACCAGGAGGAACCCAGGACCCACTGCACCAAAGATTTCATCCCGATATCTAATAGCAGTCAGGGTGGAATTGTCTAGCCTGTAGAGGTCTGTGTGTCCCTCCATGGATATGCCTTCCCAGACCATCACTGACCCACCACCAAAACGGTCATGCTGAATGATGTTACAGGCAGCATAATGTTCTCCATGGCTTGTGGTGTTCAATGGCAAATGCCAATCGAGCTCTATGTTGCCGGGCAGTGAGTACAGGGCCCACTAGAGGACATCGGGCTCTCAGGCCACCCTCATGAAGTCTTTCTGATTGTTTGGTCAGAGACATTCATACCAGTGGCCTGCTGGTGGTCATTTTGTAGGGCTCTGGCAGTGCTCATCCTGTTCCTCCTTTCACAAAGGGGCAGATACCGGTCCTTATGATGGGTTAAGGATCTTCTACAGCCCTTTCCAGCTCTCCTAGAATAACTGCCTGTCTCCTGGAATCTCCTCCATGCTCCTGAGACTGTGCTGGGAGAAAGCAAGCCTTCTAATAATGGCATGTATTGATGTGCCATCCTGGAGTAGTTGGACTTCCTGTGCAACCTCTGTAGGGTCAAGGTATTGCCTCCTGCTACCAGTAGTGACACTGACCCTAGCCAAATGCAAAACTAGTGAAAAACGGTCAGAAAAGATAAGTAGGGAAAAAAATGTCAGTGGCACCTGTAAAACCATTCCTGTTTTGGGGATCATCTCATTGTTGCCCATCTAGTGCGCCTGTTATTCATTTCATTAACACCAGAGCAGCTGAAACTGATTACCAAACCCCTCTGCTACTTAACTGATCAGATCAATATCCCAGGAGTTTCACTGACTTGATGCTATACTCTGATTAAAAAGTGTTCCTTTAATTTTTTTGGTCATTGTATAATGCTGAACACCGGATGTATGAACACATTCAAGCGGCCTGTGCTGTTTTGTAATGAACTGATTTTGTAGAGATTGTAATGTTTGATTAAAATTTTTCCATTTCCTTGTGTGTTATATTTGCTTACCAAAATGGGTGTTTTTTCTCCTTCATGTGAGCTTGTTTTGCCTAGTGATTGCTAAAGAACAGCTCTGTTATATTAAGGATAAAAACTTTTTAAGATGTATTTCTGTCCCAAATTGTTTGGGACAGAAATACATTTCTGTCATTTGTTCTAGTGACAATAAATATGGGATTCCCTGTCACTTTCCTTGAGGTGACTGGTCATCCGGAAATTGTCTTCTCAGCAAATTCACCATCAGGAATAAAAACGTGACCCTCAAACCCTTCCTTACACTATCCGGCGAAAATAAAAAAAAAATTAAAAATTTCTTAATGATACACTGGTACCTTGTGCATGCTATGTATACTCAAAAGAGTAAATGATGTACACAAAGTGTATGTTGTATACCCTGTCCCTTTCTTTTCTCTTGCCCCTACCTTCTCTACAGTATACTTAGCAAGTCCCAGCTGTCATTCTGACAGGCTGGAATATTTGGTAAGTAATAATCAGACCTGAGCAGTGTTTGTAAACACTGTAAGTGGGATCAGAAATACAAATTTACATGTTTACGTTGTATTTACTGTTCTTTCATATGAAGATCAAAAGGGTGACCTTCAGCCGCCATTCACACTGAGGCTACTTGTCATGCGATTCAACAGTTCAAATTGCCTGAAAAGTCGCACTTAATGTTCGGCAATGGAACCATTCTTATTCGTGCGACTTCATTTTGAAAATTAGTTCTTACACTACTTTTGGTGATTTTGGGTGCGACTTGCATGGACATCTGTGCATGAAGTCGCACAGATATCCTATAAGTCACACTGACATCTGATTTTGAAATCCTGCGACTTGAAGTGAAGTCGCACGATATCAAAGTCCTATTCCGTGTGAACCCGGGCTCAATCTGCATGTGATACAATTTAAAGCAACCTTACAAATTAAAACAAATTGTTTTTTGTGTGTTTTTTTTTTTTTTGTCGTCTTTGTTATAAAACGAGTTTATCTCCTTATTAATTAAGCAACTTTTATCAGCCCTAGTTAAAGACTAAGTTCACTTTTTCAGGTATAATTTAGTTTTTCATAATAAATAGAAGCCTTTTGTAATGTCCTTTCTGCCCCAGCCATTCCAATATGCTTATCTCTCACTTACCTAGTCCACAGCAGCTTTAAACTGCACCTCTCTATTCAGAATTTGTAAAAATGCATTCTGAGCCCCGAGTTCCTGTAGCATGATTTGACCAACCAGGGAACTTTATATCCCATCATGCCCTGATTTACTGCAGCATAGAATAGGTTGTGTTTTACCTCTCAGGACCACACCTCCCCCATTATTACACCATCTTTTTTATTTTTTTTTTAATATTTCCTATACATTACAATCTCCTTTTAGGTCTGTCATCATGCATGTAGTGCAAGGGCCTGTCTAATTTGATAATATTGGTCAGGTGGGTCCTCCTTTTCCAACAGATTGTATAGTGTATGGCCAGCTTTATACAAGTACATGGGAGTTTTGTGTGTGGAGACACTCAGCTGTCATTGTTCTTGCGTCAACTCACCTATTTCACTTTCAGGCCCTATTCACATCTAGTATAGTAGGAGCGCACATTTTTGCCACGACACATATAGGGCAGCACAATAATTTTAACAGGCTGCCCTACATGCAAGAAATGCAGCAAAATACCTCCATGGGGCATTTTGGTCAGTTGCAGATTGCACGTTTTTACAGCACATTTTGCATCATTTGTTGCACGTGGAAAAATGTGTGTATGCCTCTGCATTTGGGGTGCCATGAACAATGGCACTGAAAGGAAGACTAGTTCATTTTAGGTGTATAAAGGTGGCCATACACTATTCAGTCTGATTGTACAATCTTCTTTAGGTTTATCTAAACTATATAAGAGGACACACCTATCTATTCAATCTCTCTGTATCCAGGATGGCTGAACCTTGTACTATATAGTTGATGGTAGATCTAAAGTAGATTGTACAATCAGATTGTAAAGAGCAGGTTGCGGTTTACACACGTCTGTTATGTCATCGCTCAGCTCCTACACACAATGCCAAATGAACAATCTATGCAAGAAGAAGGTGAGGTGCAAAACGATACATCAGCAGAGGGAAGACACTGGTTGTATTTTCAGTAAGAGTGGTTCTCACGGATAATGATTACTTTGGAAAAACATGAAATTGCAGCGGTTGGTGGGAGAAATCTCCTGGAGGGGAGGCCAGCTGCAGGGTATGTTTTTAATGGGGTCACAGCTGCTGAAGTGCTTCCTCACACTACAGTTTTCTATTCTGAAGGACACATACCAGGAGGTAATTAAGAATTTTTCTGTAGAAGAAACTAGAGGGTGAGTTAAAGCTTTCCCTAGAATATAGGGAAAGCCTTTTCTTTTCTACAGCAGAGATATATTAGTAAAGCTGGAATTTAGAAAAACAAAAAAGTAAACAGCCTTTAAAGCAGAACTTCACCCATTACAACAGCCTATGCTCCTCTGGTTCTTCATCTTCCCTTTTACAGAACTGTTTTTTTTTTTCCCCTTCCCTTTTCTGTATCGTATAGCACCTTTTTGTGCTGTAAGGCAGTACTTCTGCTTTTCTGGCCTAGAATCAACTTAGTTATGCCCCTTACGGGAATTGCCATATCACACATCCCAGGAGGCAGTGCTTTACACAGGGCCCATGCGTGGTGGAAGATTTGGCACATTCATATACACTATTCCCTTTTAGGCATGCATGTACAGGCGCAGGGGATTCTAGTTCATGCACAAAGATTTTGCAGGTTTCTACAGTGCCCAATATCAGAAAAATAACATCTTTTTCCATGTTCCAGGATTCCCTGCACTTGCGCAGACATGCCACAGGTCTCTACCATATGCTAGTTACCTGACAGAGCCCTGTGGCACATCTGCACATGTGCCAAATTTTTAAAGATGGTGCGATGAGAAGTGGAGAGGGGAATAATGTATTGCTTTTAACTGCAAAAGGAAATTTTTACATTTGCACCATGGGTATTGTCCCCTGGCATGTAAGCAATAAATCTAGTACCTTTTGAAGATATCCCTCAAAACAAACATTGGGGGTGTTCTATATTTAAGAGATTGTTCCTTGCAGTTAAATACCACACCCTGAACTACAAGTAACATATTATGTGAAAGTAACCACATTTTCCACTACACGATTATATGCTTTACTGAACTGAAAAATAGTAGAAGCAACATTAAGTACACTTTATTTTATCTGATGTCCCTTGGCACCTGTCGCAAGATTATCCTTGGCTCTGATCTTTGGGACGCCTCTCTGGATAAAACAACTTTATAAGTCTTTTTAGTCATCACATTTGCATTATCCAGTATAGCACGTATTATAGTTCTGTGTAGTCACGTGACCTCACAATGATATGTCTTTATCTTGTAGGCCCAAGCAACTCGGGAGCTGACAGAGCAACTTCCCCTTTGGTGTCTTTGTACCCAGCACTGGAATGCAGAGCCATCATGCAGCATATGTCCCCCACAGCATTTGGTGAGTGTGCTATTTTTTTGGATCTGTTGAGAAGCTACTGTTTACTATTTCCAATGCTGCTATTTCTTCTTGCTCTTAGGTCTGAAGGACTGGGATGACGATGAAATACTCGCCTCTGTTTTAGCCGTGTCACAACAGGAATACTTAGACTCAGTGAAGAAAAACACCCTACGGCGGGACCCTTCCCCAGATCACAGCTGATATACACATTGGACTTCTTCCATTCATCCCATTCTCCTGTCTCCATTTTGTCTCTGCTTGCCTGCCCCTCCACCCCACCCCTTCTTAACTCTCCCACCAGTTTATAACATGCTCACTTTGTGATCTCTACAATGAATGATGCTCTTTTTTTTTTTTTTTCTTCTTTTTTTTTTTTTTTTTTTTTCTGTAAATCTACCTTTCCTACTAGCCCTGGAGGACTTGTATAGCTGCATGTTCCAGAGAATATTGACAGCCCAATGCCCCATCCACCTTGACACTTCCAGATCTCCTTTCCACTGCCTGCAGCAGCTGACCTGGGGTGCTTGAATGGCTCCAGTGGGGGTTACTGTGACTTTGCAATTCCATCTTTTAGATAGATGATGGGTGTGCAGAGGGGAGAATGACTGAACCAGTGGAGCTTTCCACTTTTGTATCTTCCTGATTTTTTTTTTTTCTGGTTTGTATCTTATCAAAAGGACGTTCCAATCATCTAGGAATAACTTTTTTCTTATTAAGAAAGATAAGAAAATGAAAAAAAAAAAAGCAAAAAAAAAAAAAAGTCTTATACAAGAATGAATGTGTGTTGTACGTTATGTGTTTGGTCTAATTATTGATGGTGGAGTTTAGACATTATTTCATGCTTTTGTCACTTAAAGCATATCCAAATTAAAGAACAAGAACGTTGCTAGGATGTTACTGTCATCTCCACCATCATAGGAATGAGCTCGTAACCACTTTGCGCTGGCTGTACACATATATACAGACTTGGCGGGTAGGCCTTAATGCCAGGCGGCCACATACATGCAGCCCAGTATAAACTTATCATGCTGAGAGTGCGCTCCCAGCACAGTAGCTGACAGTGATTTGATCATGTGACTGCTGTGACAGCCAATCACTGTCACCCAATTGGGCACCTCTGCCTCCCAGCATCTAGGGCTGGGAGGCATCAGCATGAAGGAGTTACATGTCAAGCTCAGAAGTATGGGGGGGAGAGAGCATGGGAAGAGGACTAAATCAGAGAAAAAGTTTACTCCTATGATGGAGGAGGGGAGCAGTAAAGACTAGGCCTTGTTTAGCATTGTCCTGGGAGTGTTTCAGCCAGGCTTTTTGGAGAGTTTGTAAATGGCCTACACCTATAGCAAGGGCAATATTCAACTATAGTCAGAGCTGCACAGCTGCTTTTATCTACAAACACCCCTTATTTTTTGTAAAGGGTGAACTAACTCTTTAAAGCTTTAACATAACAAAAGCTGTCAGATATAAAAGGTGCTTGCACATATCCACAGCAATTTCCAGGCCCTTGACCCTACAGCCCAATCCCAGACTATTCACACAGGCAAAGCTCCAACACTTCCTTCCACTCTTTTCCTATTTGACCAGCATTACAATCCATCCTAGTGATGATCTAGTAGGTGTATATGGTGGGTTGAGAGATAGCTGCAATATATGGAAATGTCAAGCATTTTGCCTGAGGGCCTGGCATTTAGCCATAACAGTAGGGCTTAAAGAATGTGTATACTTGCACATTATGGCAAGAGCCTCCTTCACAAGTGGAATTTTTAGTTCTGCTTAAAAATGTGCAATGATCAGATAAAATAAAGTCACCCGGTGTACTTAATGTTGCTTTTCCTATTTTTCAGTTCAGTAAAGCATATAATAGTGGAGTGGAAAATGTGGTCACTCTCATAGTTATGTTACTTGTAGTTCAGGGTGTGGTATTTAACTGCAAGGAACAATCTATTTTATATACCATATTTTTGTTCCATAAGAAGCACTTGACCATAAGACGCACCTAGATTTTAGAAGTGGAAAACAGGAAAAAAAATATTCTGAACCAATGGACTGCAGACATAGTATAGGAGATGACCAGAGACTGCGGACACAGTACAGGAGATGACCAGAGACTGCGGACACGGCACAAGAGATGACCAGAGACTGCACACATGGTACAGGGGAAGACCAGAGACGAGGGGGAGCGGGTACCCGAATTTGACAGGTGGAGTTGTCCTTCCCCGTAATCTTCTGGGACACGTGGCAGGTGCCAGAAGATTACAGGGTCATACACAAAGCGTGGCACTTCTCGTGCATGCGCAGTGGGCACCTGGCTGTGAAGCTGCAAGCTGTCACAGCCACGTGCCTATGCCAGGGACAGAAGACTGAGGACACCGCTGGACCGAGGAACTAATAAGACCACTGGAGGTCTGCAATGAAGAGCCGAGCAGCTGGCTTGGTATTCTAACACGGGGAGAATACTGGGCCGGCCGCTCGATATTCGCTCCATAAGATGCACAGACATTCCCCCCCCATTTTTGTGTGGGGAGGAGTGCGTCTTTGGAGTGAAAAATACGGTAGAATATCCTTAATGTTTGTTTTGAGGGATATTTTCAAAATGTACCAGATTTATTGCTTACGTACAGCAATAGACTGTGCATCAGTATACAATCTGTTCACATGTTAGATCTATTAAAGGGTTAGTTCACCTTTACCAAAAAACATAAGGGGTGGCTGTAGATAAAAACAAACTGTGCAGCTCTGCCTAAAGTAGAATATTTCCCTTGCTATAGGTATAGGCCATTTATGTACCTCATGAAGCCTGACTGGAATACTCCCAGGCTGTTGCTAAGTGAGGCCTAGATTTTACTGCTCACCTCCACCATCACAGGAGTGAGATCTCAGATCTCCTGCATCAGGGGAAACATAGAGCATGTGAGAGGGTTTGAATCAGATAAAAAGCTCACTCCTGTGATGGTGGAGGTGAGCAGTAATGACTAGGCCTCACTTAGCAATGTCCAGGGAGTATTCCAGTCAGGCTTCATGAGGTACATAAATGGCCTACATGTATAGCAAGGACATTATTCAACTTTCTTTGTTCTGAAGACTGTGCTGGACTGACTGGATCAGTCACTGGTCGTAGGTGGGTGGGTAGGGGGAAGCCTCTCCAGTCGGCAGTACCCAATGGTGGATATTGGCAGTAAACCCTCTTAGGCTGGCCATACATTATACAATTTTCCTGAGAGTTTTGCTTTAGATTTACCAAAAACCATATAATATGAGGTCAAACCTAAACCACACCTGCAATTGTATCTAATTAGTCAGGCCCTTGCACTACATTGTGGAAGGTAAATCTAAAGGAAATTGGTCAGAAAATTGTATAGTGTATGGTCAGCCTTAGCCTTGGTTCACATCTAAGCGGTTTCCAGAAATGCAATACAGTCCATTTAACATGATTTCTTATGGGACACGTTCACATCTCCGCTTTTTCACCTGATGCATTTTTTGCAAAGGGTCAGAGACTTATTTTTAATGCAAAAAGTTGCATTTTTGGTTCTGTAGACCTCAGTAGAAACGCTGTAGAAAAGCATGTAGTGCCTTTTTGCAGCATTTTTTGTGTTTTTCATGCATTTTGCATTTTAAATCTGCCTAGTAAAAAGAGAAAAAAAAAAACGCAAGACGCACTGCAGAAACGTATCTAACGCAAACTGCATAGGTGTGAACCTAGCCTTAGAGTTCAGGCTGCTGCCTTTCTCGTATGGCCTTGAGGTTGTTTCCGACGTATGCTTGGAATAGTAGAAAAGAAGGACCACCTGATGTCCAAAAGAATGCACTTTTGATGGTAGATTAGAAGGCTTTTTTGAGCGTAACAACAAGTACATCAAGCCAACGCGTTTCGAGAGAAAGGACTCTTCTTCAAGAAGTGAGTTACCTGATTACAATCTGCCTTATACTAGTATAAAAATTCCAGTATATATATATACTGCCCTTTGTGGACGCTATAACTTTTATGTAAACCAATTATTATACACTTATTGGGATTTTTTTTTTAGCAAAGACATGTAGCAGAATACATTTTGGCCTAAATTTATGAAGAAATTTGATTTTTTTTTTTTTTTAATTGGATGTTTCATAGCAAAAAGTAAAAAATATCAGGGTTTTTTTTTTAAATTGGTCTTTTTTTTGTTTATAGCGCTAAAAGTAAAAACTGCACAGGCGCTCAAATTGCACCAAAGAAATCTCTATTTGTGGGTTAAAAAAATGACATAAATTTCATTTATGTACAGCGTTGCATGACCGTGCAATTGTCAGTTAAATTAACGCAGCGCCGTATTGCAAAAAATGGCCTGGTCAGGAAGGGGGGGTGAATCCTCTGGAGGGCAAGTGGTTAATAATTAGTGTGCTACAATGTTAATCGGACAAGAGCTCATGCATAATGTCCTGCTTGTGTGAATGCATTATTGGAGGGCATAGTCTTCTGTGACTGGGCCAAAAGCACTTTGTAATCAGGTCATTTACTCCCTGAAAAAGGGAGAGTCTTTTCTCCCAAAACACGTTGGCTTGATGTATTTGTCGTTGCACTTAAAAAAAGCCTCCTAATCTATCATCAAAAGTGCATTCTTTTTGGACATCGAGCACTCCTTTTCTACTATTCCAGTTATTCAACTTTTGTCAGAGACACACTGTTTTTTTTTTAATCTACAAATGCCTCTTACGTGCATGGGCAGTTCTTTGGTGAAGATGAACCATCCCTTTAACCGCCTGCCATATAGTAAAATGACAGACGCAAGGCGGTTCTCTCGTCCTGGGAGGATGTCATATGACGTCCTCCCATTCTAACTGCGTATGCACGGCTCCGGGAAGCGTGCTGGGATCGGCGGTGCGCTGCGTCCCTCGGACACAGCAGATCAACAGAAAGAGCCGAAGATGTCGGCTCGGTCATGTGATCAGCTGCCTGTCAATGCCCATCAGTGCCACCTATCAGTGTCCATCAGTGCAGCCTCATTAGCTCACATCAGTGAAGGAGAAAAATCACTTATTTACAAAATTTTATAACAAAAACTAAGAAAATACGTTTTTTTTTTTTCAAAATTTTCAGTGGTTTTTGCTTTAAGAAAAAAATAAAAAAAAACCAGAGGTGATTAAATACCACCAAAATAAAGCTCTGTCACAAAAAAATGATAAAAATTTCATATGGGTACAGTGTTGCATGACCGTGCAATTGTCAT